GGGGCGGCCCTTCCCGGGTTGGCCGGTCCCCCCCCCCCCCCCCCGCCCAGCAGCAGTCTTCGCTAGGGTATAATTTTTGGGTTTGGTAGTGCGTACGGGGTGTGGTTGGTTTGTGGTGGGGGCTGGGGTTAGGGATACGAAAACCCCCTCTATATTTTTCAAAAATTAATATTTAAGTAGTACTGTCCTCGCGAAGACGGCCCCTTACGTTGCCATCGTTTCTCTCCTCCCCCCCCCAATTTTTTACTGCGCTCTTCTCAAAAACCCCCACAAATACGCTACAATAGGGAGACATGGTGGAGTATCGCCTGGACAGGGCCAACAGCACGATCTTCGAGCTCGTCCCTGGCAGCGATGAGGCCCTCACGTCTTCCATGACGGACAACGTCATGAACTGCGGCTTCACGCCGACTTTCGACAGGTACATCCGTTCGCTCGCGCGTCTATTGTTTTTGTTGATATTGTTTTTTGTTCTCACTCTTGGCGGTTTCCTCTCAGGTGCACCTTTACAGCAGTAGTATAAGTACTCCCTTGAAAGCGAGGGCTTCGTGCTCATATTTCCATCTGTTTCTCTGTTTTGTTTTCTCCTCTGTTTCGTTTTTTTTTTTTTTTTCTCGTGTGCTCCGTTCCTCAAGTATCTAAACGTTGGGCAGACTCGTTCGTCCGCTTGGTTTTGGCCTTTTTTTTTTCTTGTTAGGTTCATACTCCCCAAGTTTGAACACAAGTACCCACTAACTGCGAATAATCTCCTCCCCCCGTCTACCTCTCCGGCTACCGCAACCCTAACCCTTATCTTCACCTCGAGCCTGTCTATTGGTGCGGAACGAATGGGATAGACCAGGATAGTGCGTTTTTTTGCGACAAACGTTTCCAATTTCAACTAGTGTAGCTTTTGCCTCCCCGTGCTCCAAGTTTTGTGGTTTCGTATCGTTTGCTTTTTTATTCTTCATTCAGGCTTGATGCCGACCTGATGTTGCCCTCCCCCCCCCCGGTGCTCAAAAATTATTTTGCTTTCGTCTGTTTTGTTTGTTGGTTCAGGCTTGACGCCGACCTAATGGAGTCGACGATTTGGTCGTGGGACACGGATAGGCCGGAGACGGGTTTCGACTTGCCCCGGGCGGCGGTGATTTCGTCCGACGGGGGGAGGTGGACGGACGTCGAGACCGACAGCGATTCGGGCGAAAGACACTCCTTCGCGTGCCGCAACTCAGGTACATATGCATGTACGGGAGGGGGCGGGGGGGGGGGGGGGGGCTCCTAATTGTGCCTGCCCGAAGGGTTAAACCCTTTTCCCCCCCCCCCCCCAAAAAAAAGGGGGGGAAACCCCGGGGGGGGGGGGGGGGTGATTTTGGGGCTTCCCCCCCCCCAATCTGGGTTTTTTCGGGGGGGAAGGGGGAACCCTTTTTGGAACGGGGGTTGGGGGGCCCCCCTTTTCCCCCCCCCCCCCGGGGTTAACCGTCTTGGAAATTTTTCTCCTTGGGCCCTT